GGGGGGGGGGATAGCTCGCTCTCACGGATGCGTGCGCTAATGGCCGGCCATGGTATGCTGAGTATCGCCGAGTGTCGCTCGTCACCGCTCCAGTGCCATCACATCTTTACACAGCGTCAAAATTTCAAACGGGCTGCTCAAGGTCACACAAGCGAACGGCAAAAATGACGCTCAGTTTACAGGGCCGTATTGCCCCAAAATGGGTTCGATTTTGACGTTCATGTCTCGGCGCTTTTGTCGGCGTTTATCAAACACCCTTGCTGACTCCGTCACTCCGTAGTCTGACGAGTCTCGGTGCATGTGCGGTGCGTGCGCTGGGGTGGCCCAGCAGGTGGCTGTGTGCTCTGTAGCCCCCGACCACCCGTTTGGGCTGGCCGGGTTGCAAACTTCCTACTATATCACACACACACACACTTTGGCTGTGCAGTCACAGTCACTTTCATGACGTGTCTTTCTTGTAAGACGGGCCTGATGAGTGGAGAAAGTGTCAAAGTGTAATATTTTGGATGCTCCGTTGCGTGCCGCGTGTATCAGTGCACCGACGACGCAGCAGCAGTGGGCCACGGGCCATACGGGCGCTGCTTTGTCCGGCCGGACGGGCTCCGTGCGCCTGCGGACTCTGGCATAGGCAACCCCACGGCTGGAGTGCATTGCGTGCGGTGCGCTCACCCGGCACGCACGGGCAGCTCACCTCCATTTGGCAGGGCAGGGCGGGGTTGCGCCCTCCGCGTGCGTACCGCCCCGTTTCCTCCTCTCTGCCAACTTGACGAGTCAGCGCGGCCATCATCAAACCCTCATTGGCAGCTCCCTCCCGCGGCTCATCAAACGCCCCTTTTTCTTCGCGCGTCCGATCGGCCGGATGTTGTTGCTCTTGACGGACGGCACTTCCTCCGCTGGCACGTCCGATGATGACGGTCTTAAGTCACTGGTCGTCCAGGCCAGGGCCCCGGATGTTCGCGTTGCCACCCCACCGCCTCCCTCCTCCCCTCCGCCCAATCTCCCCTGGCCTTCGCCGGGCCTTAGCGTTTCGCGCGGGAAAAGTAACGGAATGCTTTCGGTAAACATGCTGCATAAATAATCGCAACGAGTCGTTACGGCGCTCAAAGCGCGCGTCTGTGTGGGGTGGGACCCCCCGGACCCCCGCGGGACCGCCGAGTATATTTCGGACCATTTTCTACCGCACTTTGTTTTTCCGCTCCCTGGAAAAAACACATCTGTATACGAGATTGTTTTTGTTTTGTGTCGGAGGACCTTTACTCTCATTACTCGTAGGGTTTGGCCTCGGCCCGCTAAGGAGGCCGCCCAACGAGATAGTGTGCATGTGTGTGCATGTGTGTGTGTGTGTGTGTGTGTGTGGTGCGCGCACCGCTATCGCACGTGCACCATGTGGGCCTCAACTGTGGCGGCGGGGGCACGTGCTGCCAGGGTGTTTGAGAATGTATTGACGAATAAGCTGCAGTCGAGTGGAACTTCTCAATGGAGAAAAGGACGCGTTTCGTGGGTGATTTCATAATTTAAAAAATCATATCTGACGTTCTGGCTGTTGCTGCGGGACCGCCTCTCAGCAGATACCGTGCTGAACACTTTCACGTTATTCTACTTGCAGAGGTTGCACATTTTGCAGTGTTTACCTCCTGGTTGATCACTTGATTTATGAGTTATCAGTGCATAGAATCCTTACTGTCTCAAACGCTCTACAAAATTTGTTAAGTAGATGGACCAAAAAGTTAAAACGTAGCTGAAACGCTCAATCAACTAACTTTGTAGTACCGTCACTTTGTTTTGGCGGGCGCCTCTGGCATGAGGGAACGATCTTCCAGGAGCCGGAGGGGAGTGCTCATTGCTTTCATCTTTCTCTCCTGGGCGTAAGTGAATGACCTACCCAGACGGGCCTACAACACATCATTAGAGTAAAGGCCTCTAAGCGGAGCTGGAGTAGAATCTCTCTCAACGCCCCCCGCCAGCAGGAAGTCTCTATCTCTGGGAGCTGTTCTGCGGGGCACTCTGACTTAGTGTAGGCGCCGCATGAGTCTGACCTTTCTTCAGGGGAGGAGGAGGGTGCTTTTACCCTCACTTGCACTCGGAGTGCGCGGGTTCTATGCGGTTTGGACCGTAAATTGGGCATTCTTGCTGCGAAACCTGCTGCCCTGCTGTGGGTCAGCGTGCGTGGTCGACCAGTTAGAGATAAAGACCATGTCGGAGGGGTGGCGCCACGACTAGGTGTCCTGGTAATGCGAGAGAAAGCACACTTAGACGCTACCTATTTTTGCTCCAATTTACTAAGGTTTCGTTTCGGACAAATTGGCGGTCAAAAAATTGCTTGGTTTCTTACAAATGAGTGCACGGCAGTGTTCAAATCAACTCAGAAAAGTGTGCACAAAAATTTGATTGCTCACATTCTTAAGATACATGTCCAGTTAGTGTGATACGTTTCCGACCACAAGTGATTCGGAGGCGTCAGCAGCAGGAGCAGGGTGCTTTGTGATTTGAATCAATAGTGCAGTGCAGACCCATACTACGGTTCGTTGCCTTTTTGAGAGTGTGCCCGTGCGCGTCCGCTCGCCAGCCACAGGCGCCCCCAGTGCCTCTGGCTGGCAGTGCTGCCTCGCTGTGCCCCGCCGCGCCCCGCCGCCTCTCGCTGCCAGACCAGGTCTCTGAATGAGGGCGGCGCAGCACCATCAACACAGTCGTCCTAATACCACAAACACGGCGAAACAAGGAGGCAATAAAGCGGACTGTCTGCCCTCCTCCGTAGGTCAGTGGAGGGGCCCCGCCGGGGTAAACAACGTACCGTCCGTACTTTGAAACAGTGGGAGTACGCACGTTCCATTTGAACTAAAGGAGAAAATTCGTTAACAGAGTGCATGTCATGCGTTCTAGTTTCTAATTTTC